CACCCTCTGAAGACAAGGCACTCAGATCAGGCACTCTTCTCAGCAGACTAGACTCCTTGGCTTGGCTTTGCAGAGCCCGCAGTTGGAACCATCATGCTCCTGCCTTCCTTCATCCAGCACTCACTGAGGTGTCTCCTTTGTGCATGGCCTCATGCTGGGGATGTAGAGATGACAAGTCTCTGCCTCCTGTCTGGTGGGGGAGAGAAAGCAGGAGACTGAGAATTACAATGCAGGGTGACCAGTAAATGGACAAGGGGGAGCGTGGGGGCTGTGGGAGCCCAGAGGAGCCCCCTAACCCTGCTGGCAGCAGAAGAGACAGGGAAAGCTTCCTAGAGGAGGAAAAATCTGAGTGGAAGGTTAAAATACGAGAAGGATTGTGCCAGGTAGAGGAGGAGCAGGAGAGCCTTCTGTGCAGGGAGAATGACATGAGAAAGCCCTGGGGTTCAGCAGGCCTGATAAATAGGTCGGACGGCTGAGGTAGGAGGTGAGGAAAAGCAAGAAGTGGGGCGCAAGGCTGTTCAGGGACTAGGGGATTACAGGCCTCAAAGGCTGGGCTATAGAGTTAGGACTTTATCCTGAGGGCACTGGGGAGTCAAGGAAAGGTATAGGAAGGGTGGGAGGGGGCAAAGACACCCTTGTTCTTCCCTATCCTGTCACATCTCACCAACCACCAATCTCTGCTCTCTCCACTGGCCTTGTTTGTTCCTGAAAGCTGCCAAGCATGCTTCCACCTCGAGGCCTCTGTACTTAACTTTGCCTGGAGAGGTAGGGGTGAAGACTTGCAGTCAGGGGCAGAAATGGGGTTGGGATTAATATTGGGGTCAGGGTGAGGATCTGGTTTGGAGTTCATGTTTATTTGTTCTGAATGGGCCTCGTTATGTGACCTGCTGGATGACCTTGGGGTCATGCTTGAGTGTCCTGGGGGATGGACAGGACAGACTGCTTGGGAGTGTATGTATGGCTGGTGGGGATTGGGCTCCAAGCATGGGGTCATGGGGCGTTGAGGCTTTTGCTGTTGGTTGTAGGCATTATGTACCACTGGGGCAACGCTTGAGGGGCGTAGGAGGGGCCTCATAGCAGGGATCAAGGCACCTGATGGGTGGCATCAGAGAGAGCGTGGGAGGTGGGAATTATTATCCTGGTTTCCAGATGAGGAAACAAACAGGCTCAGAGAGGTTAAGTAACCTTCCCAAGCTAGTGATGAAAAAGGGAGGATTTGCACCCAAGTCTGCTGACTCCTAAGTTGCTAGGATTCCCCAGGCATCAGATTCTGATGAGACCAAAACAGTGATGGAGACAAGTGGGCTACAAGGTAGGGCAGGACAGGGTGGCAGAGCTGATGACCTATGCCAAGACAGATGCCTTGGACAAATGGAGCTTGGCCTGGGATGGGGGCCAATTTGTCCAGCTGTGAGGGACACCTGGGGGTCCAGAGAGAGAGAAAGTGAAGCCTCTGAGAGAAGCAGGAGGTGGTGTTTCGGGTGAGGGTGAGCCTGCCCTCTCAGGTGAGGCCCTGCCCCACGTACACCATTCACCTGTGAATAGCACCAGATCAAGTATCTGCTTTCCTCTTCTCCTCCTCCCCTCCTGCCCTCCTCCTCCACTACCTTGCCTGGCCCACACCTCAGTGCACCCACTCAAAGGACCTAGTCTAATCCCCTGACATCACTGCCTGCCTAGCATTGGCTCTGTCTGGCAGCCCTGGCAGCCCCCAGCCTTGGAGACCCAATTTAGGATCCCACACCTCAGGAGCCATCTTTCCCCCCCACCTCCTTCCTCCTTCAGCTCACAGTTCAGATCGAGGACACCCCAGATCTGGTTCCAAGCTGGGGGACAGGAATCTAGGATCTGTCCTGGCCGTGCTGTGGGACTCCAGGTAAGTAGCTGCCCTCCTCTGGGCCTCAGGCTACTTATCTAAGTCTCCTCAACCCCTACCTAATCACATCAGCCTGTTTCTTCTTCTCAGCACCTTGTCCCTTTAGGGAATTTTGTTTTTTACCAGTTTACATGTTTGTTATTGGTCTTCTGCACCAGACTGTGCACCCCATGAGGCAGGGACCTGGCCTAACTTATTACTCACCCTGGTGCCAGCACATGGTCGGGGCCCCACCAATATTTGCTGATTGAATGTATACACAGGTGAATGAATGAACAGATGTATCTCCTGCCCTAGCAGGAGGGGTGTGGGCCTTCTCCTTCCACCCTAGCCCTAAACTGGGGAGGAGAGTAGAGCAGTATTCCAGCTCCCAACTGGATGGAAGCAGGGTGGGGGTCTGACTGACCACTCACTGACTCAGCAGGTGGGCAGGGGCTGAGAACTGAACAGTGCTCCCTTGTGGAGAGATTGTGAAAGCCCTGGAGAGGGACTGGAACCCAACACCTGTCTCCCCATCCTCCCTCTCTGCCACAAGGCTTCTCCAGATGGGGAGGACCTCAGGTGTGTGTCTGCGTGTGCTGTGCCTGGGCAGAGGGTAGCCGCTGGCCCAAGATCTCCCAGGATAGCAAAGACTGAGATGTGGCTAGATCTCAGACCTCCTGAGCCCCAGCTGCACGTGTGTCTGTGTGCACACATATGGCCGTGGTGTGGGTACACTCCATGTATATATGTGTCTGCCTGTGCGTGCGCTTCTGGTGGGGCCTCTGGGTGTGGCCATGTGTTCACATGTCCGTGTGCATCTGTGTGGACACATGCACTGGTTCGTCTGGCTCTCCCTGTGTAAGGTATGTAGGTCTGGCCGGATGTGTGTGATATGACACATGTGTAGGCATGTCCATGAGGGCACCTGCTCCACGAGGACAGGGTTTTTGTCTGACTGTTCCCTGCTCTGTCCCAGCACCTGGAACAGGGACCAGCACACAGGTGTCAATACATACATGAATGAATGAACATATGAAAGTGTGTGCGTATGTCTGGTGTGTGCCCACGTGCCAATGCGTGTGTAGACATGTACGTGCTCCTGTGTCTAAGAGTGCACCTGGGCGTGGGTGATGTTGCTCACATGCCACCCTCCGGTCCCTTTTCTAAATTCCTTGGGAGCCAGGGCCTGATGCCTGGGTCCCTGTGGGGCGGGGCAGGGGGCCGCCTCCTTGTGGGAAACTGGATCCCAGGACGTGCAGAGCAGCAGGGAACAGGGCGGCCCCTTTGTCCCCTGATAATCCCCTCCCCGACTTTGCCACCTCCCTCCCAACAACCAGGGTTTAAGGTTGAGTTTGTCAGCTGTAAGGGACTAGGGTGTCACCTCAGTGTTCCCTTCCCTACCTGTCCCCTGCTTCCAGGGGCTTCTGCACCTGCCCTCCCCCTCCCCCAGGGTGTAACTCCTTCCCTCCCTCCTGGGCGGCCCCAGGGCTCAGCCCCAAGTATAAAGCCACCTGAGGGGTGGGAGGACAGGTGCCCCAGAACAACCCAGAGACTGCAGAAAGGAAGGAGCTGAGGAGAGAGCATGAGCTGTCCACTGGGTGAGTGAGGGGTCAGGGCACCAGGGCCTGGAGCTCAGGATGGGAGGGGTGCTGCCAGGGCCCTCTGGCCCCTCTGACTCATGTGCCCAGCTGTCTTTGTATCTGCTGGGAACCTCCAAGTTCTTACACACAGAAGACTTCGTTCATCATTCACTCATTCATTCATTCAGTCAAGAAATATTTATTGAGTGCCTATTATGTGCTTGGTAGTATTCTAAGCATTTGGGGACACAGCAGTGAGCAAACAGACAAAAATCTATGGTCTCATGGAGATTTCATTCTGCAGACAACAATACGTGTAATAAATAAGTAAATTATAATGCCAGTGTGCCGGAAGGTGAGCACAATGATCCAAGTTTGTTGAGTGAATGAATGAATGAATGAAAGGGCCTTCACCTTCGATCTTCTCTTAAGTTCTGAACTTCTGGGAACTCAGGAATGCAGAAACGGGAACAAAGGAGGCCCTTCTGGTTTGCCTCTCATCTCCGTCACTTCCTGCTGGTGACCTGAGGTGATTCCCATCCTCCCAGAGCCCCACACTGTTGGTGGGAACGTAAACTGGGCCTGATCTTTGAGAGGACAATTTGACAGCATTTACTCAAATTTTTTTTTTTTTTATTGTGGTCACAATACCTTACAACATTGTGAAATTTCAGTTGTACATTATTATTTGTCACATACCATGTAAGTGTGCCCCTTCATCCCTTGTGCCCACCCTCCACCCCCCTTCCCCCAGTAACCACTAATTTGTTCTCTTTGTCTGTAAGTTTGTTTACATTCCACATATGAGTGAAATCATACAGTGTTTGTCTTTCTCTGTCTGGCTTATTTCACTTAACATAAGCATTTATTCAAATTTAAATGAGCCTTTCCTTCAATCCAGATATTCCCACTTTCAACAGTACGCACAGAGCCTGGAATAAGGATGTTCATGGCAGCATTCATTCATTCAACAAATATTTATTCAGCTCTGCACTAGGTGCTAGGGAACTAGCAGTGAACGAACCAGGTGAGGTTTTCTCTTTCCTGGAGCCGACAGTCTAGGGGAGGAAACGACAACAAGCAGCGGACAAATAAATAAATGAGGTAGCTGCAAATAAAAGTTTCTGAAGACTATAAATCAGGGAGGGGAGGGGCTTTTGATATGTGGTCAGGACAGCTTATCTGAGCTAAGGCCTGAAGAACAAGGAGGAGGCAGCCTTGGGAAGGTTTGGGGGGTAGTCCCAGCAGGCCCCAGGGGGCAAAGGCTTGAGTGGGAAGGCTGCAGAAGAGAAAGGAGGCCAGTGCTGAGAGGCCAGGCCTTGCGGGCCATCCTGAGGACTTTGGCTTTCACTCTGTGTGGGGTGGGAGCCCCAGAAGGGTCAGCACAGAGGAGGGACCTAATTGGACTCAAGAAGTTGCTGGGTGGGGGAGAGAGGTGGCAAGGGTTGAAGCAGAGACCAGAGGGGAGGCTACTGCTATAGTCCTGGTGAGAGGTGCTGGCGGCTAGGACTCAGGTGGGAGCAGTGGAAGGAGGGGAGAAGTGGTTAGATTCTGGATACATCTTTTCATCTTTTCAAACTTTTTATTGAAAATAACAAATATACAGAAAAGTGCAGAAGTCATAAGCATACAATGAATTTTCACACAGTGAACATATCCTTGTCATGAGCACCCAGATCAAGAAACACAGACCTGACTGGCTACCTTTTAAGGACAGAGCCAACAGGATTTATTGCGGGGTTGAATGTGGAGAGCAAGAGAAAATGAGGCAACAAAGAGGACCCCATGGTTTTTTTTGTTTTTTTTTAAAGATTGGCACCTGAGCTAACATCTGCTGCCAATCCCTTTTTTTCCTTCTTCTTCTTCTTCTCCCCTAAGCCCCCCAGTACATAGTTGTATATTCTAGTTGTGAGAGCCTCTGGTTGTGCTATGTGGGATGCCACCTCAACACGGTCTGATGAGCGGCGCCATGTCCACGCCCAGGATCCGAACCAGCGAAACCCTGGGCCACTGAAGCAGAGCGCGCGAACTTAACCACTCAGTCACAGGGCCAGCCCCAACCCTACGGTTTTGACCTGAGCAACAGGAAGAATAAAAGTGCTCTTATCTGAGATGGGGAAGACTTGGGGGCAGGAGGGCTGGAGGTAGAATCTAGAATTGAATATTGGGTATTTTGAGTTTCAGATGCTTGTTAATATATAAGGGAAAATGTCAAGCAGGAAGTTGAATACATGGCTCTGGAGTTCAGGGGAATGTTCTGGGATGGAAATAATCTCCTTACAGGGCGATTCTGCCCTCACTTGGATACACAAAGACTGTACCCATCTGAGGAGTTGTTACGGAGAATGAACGAATCAGCAGGCGGGGTTGGGGACTTATTGCTGAGCTCTGATTTCTTCTACCAGCTCCTCTCTGCCTACTGACCATGCTGCTGCCACCCCTCAGTCCTGGGGACCCCATCTCCCCAGCTGAGCCCATCAGTCAAGCCTACAGCCTGGCCCTTTACATGCAGAAGAATACATCAACACTGCTGCAGACTTACGTGAGTGACACTAGACATGAGCAGGGGATGAGGGGAGAGGGACACTGCCTCTTGGCCCAGACCTGGGTAGGGGAAGCAGAGCAACCCCAGAAGTCTCCTCCATGGGTCTGAAGGTACCAGGACTAGAGACACATCTACACGAATGCTGTCACTGAAGGCAGGTGACCTTGGGCAACTCATTCCTTCTTTCAATCTCAGCTTCCTCATCTGCTAAATGGGATGGTGATCCTGCCTTTTATGAACTCTCAGGACTGTTACAAGACTCAAAGGAAGCACATAGAGGGAAGGGCGTTACAGGGTCAAGTGATTATTGCTGTGTGCTTATTTGAGCTTTATGCCATGCTGGGCACTCTATTCCCATTACCTTACTGACTCCTCAAACAGTTCTGAGAGATGGAATTATAATCTATTTTACAGATAAGGAAACTGAGTCTTAAAGAGAGTGAATAATTTGCCCGAGGTCACACAGCTAATAACTGGCAGTGCCAGGATCTTAAACCAGGTCTGTGGCATTCAATGCCAATCCTCACCCCCCAACCGTCTAGAAGTTCAAGCTGGCAGCCTGTTGGCTGGGTCTGACCCACAGATGTTTTCTGTTTGGGTCATGCAGTGCTCGTTCAAATTTTGAATCTTGTTTAAAACAGACACAGGAACCCTGTTGACCAAACTCCTGCCTGCCTGCCCACCCTTCATCTTAGTCCTGCCTTCTTCCCCAAGATGCATGGTCTGCCTGGCCTCTGGAGGCCCTGGAGTTTGTGGCTCTTCCACTGTACTATATTCCAGACCTACGTGAAATTACTAAAACTAGTTTAAGGTCCCATCACTGTTCCCTGGGTGGGTTTGGGCACACTGAACCTCAGTTTCTCTTCCTGTGAAAGGGGGATGTAGGTTCATGGAGGTGAGAACTTTAATGGAGAAGGCACTCAACTAAATTTAATAATGTTAACTATTACTTACTAACGATTATAATGAAATTAACAAATATAAACTAAATGCAGTAAATAAAAAAGAAATATATAGGGTTGGAACTACATTGTCAATAATATATTTAGATTGAAAACATTATAATAAATAATTAATATAAGCATAACATTCATGATACTAATATATCAATCTATTAGTAACTAATGGTGGCTTATCGTGCCCATATTGTACATCAGGTGCTGTGCTAAGTCCTTTATATATATTACTTCTTACTGTCTTCACGATAATACTGCCACATGGGAATTGAAGCTGTGATTCAAAGTTGCACATGTACAAATTTGTACATGGAGGAAGCTAAACTGGAACCTGATAGAGCCCAGGCTCTGTGCTAGGACATCCCACCAACTCCCTGAGGGGTAATGAATGGCAACTCTCCCTGGGAAGATGCCAGTCTCATAGAAGGCAGATGTGCGCTCAGGGGGAGCCCCAGGGCACCCCTTTAGTCCCCTCACTCCTGTCTGTCTCTGTCCCTCATGCAGCTCCAGTACCAAGGCAGCCCCTTTAGTGACCCTGGCTTCTCAGCCCCTGAGCTCCAGCTCAGCAGCCTGCCTCCTGCCGCCGTCTCCTTCAAGACCTGGCATGCCCTGGATGATGCAGAGCGGCTGGGCCGGGCCCAGGGGGCCTTCCAGGCCTTGTCCCAGCACCTCCAGCTAGTGGGGGACGACCAGAGTGACCTGAACCCTGCCAGCCCTATCCTGCTGGCTCAGCTTGGGGCTGCAAGACTCAGGGCCCAAGGCCTGCTGGGAAACATGGTTGCCATCATGACTGCCCTGGGCCTGCCCATCCCCCCAGAAGAGGATACTCTTGGGCTTGTCGCCTTTGGGGCCTCAGCCTTTGAGAGGAAATGTCGAGGCTATGTAGTGACCCGGGAATATGGCCACTGGACAGACCGAGCTGTGAGGGACTTGGCTCTGCTCAAGGCCAAATATCCTGGATAGAGGAGGTGGGACTTTCTGTCAGAGGCTTCAACACTGCCCCTTTGACAATGGACTCTTTTCTGCTTCTCGACTAGAAAGGAGACACATCTCATCTAGCAGCCAGGGCTCGTGTGCCATGTATTTGGGAATATTTGCTGGGAATCAGGCCTCAGGTCCCTATTGCCCGGGCCTTCCTGCCTAGGTCACATGGTATCCCTTCCAGATCTGGGTGGGAGACTCTGTGGACATCACTTCATGGATGACCACTCCAGTGGTACTCATTGCCAACTTTCTGGGTGGGAAGAAGTGCCTCTTTGAAGAGGCTTCACTTCCCCCGCTACAGGGAGAGGACAGTGGGTCTTCTTCCTGGGCTCTCCCTGAGACCTTCCCCTTGCTGAAATTTTGGGGAGGTTGAGGGGCTGCCGTCTTGTCTCTGTCTACCTCACTTCCTGAATGCAGATATGGGCTTTCCGAGGAGACAGGCCTCCCTTCTTGGCCAGGATTCATTTCCTTCCCTCGTCTACCCCTCTGACTGTGGCCACTGTTCCAACTTCCTATCTTAAGGAGCGTCACTTCCTGATCAAGGGAAGTCCTATTCTTGAAAAACTAAGAACTCACGTCACATCTGTTTCCTGCTTGGGATGCATCTACTTCCTGTTCTGGGCTGACAGATGGCATCCTTGGCCTGGGGCTCTCATGAATCTCCTATTTACACTTTCCCCCTGGTCTGGGGGGCCAGGTGTACCCCAAGGATCCTATTCTCCTCAAAGGTGTCTCCCCATTTTCAACAACTATATATACTGCTAACTTTAGTGTTCTTTTTATTTTTAAACATTTTATTTACAAAAAATTAATTTATTCTCAGAAATAAAACTCTTTTAAGGTGTTGATTTTTTTCTCTCCTCAGACCTGGCTTGGGAGAGGGGAGGTGCAGGCATAGGACATCAAAGCGGGAGGGGATCAGGGCCCTAAGGGATGGGATGGGGGAGGGGGAGGGCAGCAGGTGAAGTGACCTTGGAGGAAGGTGGCTGAAATTTGTCTGGAGTAGCCCTCCCACCACAGGGCCAGCAGGCACATCCCTGGCCGGGAAAGGACAGAGAGAAGGAGTGGCAAGGTGTCCCCTCCTTGAGATGAAGCTGAGATGTACACATGCTCACACATGTGTGTGACATGTGCAGGCCAAGAGGAGACAAGAGATGGGGAAAAAGGAAAACAAAGAGGCCCCCAGGGATGAGTGAACGGGGAGACCAAGAGAGACGGGGGCAGGCCCAAGTGATGGAAAAGAGAGGGAGAAAGCAAGAAAATGATGGACATGAGAAGTCACATACAGAGATAAGAAAGTCCGCAGAGAGAAAAAGCCGAGAACATCCAAAACAAATAGAGACAAGAGAGACAGGGAGATGGAGACAGTCGGAGAACAGGAGAACATACAGACGCCGACAGAGATGGCCGGAGAGAGGTGACGGCGAGCTGCAGCCCCGCGACCCGAGCTCAGGCCGGGCACCCGGGCACCAGCTGGCCCAGGTCGGCCTCGGTGCGGCTCACCCAGTCGCGGTAGAGGCCGCACACGCGGAGCCCCAGCACTTTGGCCAGGAAGACGCCGGCGGCGGCGGCGGCGGCGGCGGCGGCGGCGGGCTCGGGCCGGGGCCCGCGGGTCTCGGCACCCAGCGCAGCCCAGCACGGCCTCCACGGCGGCGCCCAGGGCCCGGGCCTGGCGCGCCGCGTCCTCCAGGCGCCGCAGCAGGCGCGGCGCGCGCGGGTTCAGCTCGGCCTGGCGGCGGCGCACCACATCGAGCAGCGGCGGCAGCGCGGCCAGCGCCGCCGCGTCCAGCCGCAGGCGCTCGGGCGCGGGCAGGCCCGCGTGGCCCGGGGCCGGGGCGCTCAGGCCGGCCACCGGCAGCCGCGGGGGCGAGAAGCCGGGCAGCCCGAAGGGGTCTCCCTGGTGCTGCACCTGCGGAGACACGGCAGTCAGTGGGGTTCGCGGAGGCGCTACGGGCAAACTCGCCACTGCGAACTGAGCCCTCCACCCCTCTCCTGGGGCCTCAGTTTCCCATCGTTCCTCCCAACAGAGCTGCTGTGTTTGAGATAATACAAAACAACAAACGTGGCCTTTACACCAGTGCCTTTGTCTCCTCATCTCTAAAACGGAGGGGGACCGGCCCCGTGGCCGAGTGGTTCAAGTTCCACGCGCGGCGCTTTGGCGCGCGGGGTTCACAGGTTCGGATCCCGGTGTAGACGTTCTCCACCCTCAGCCACGCTGTGGCGGTGTCCCACATACAAAGAAGAGGAAGACTGGCACAGACATTAGCTCAGCCAATCTTCCTCTCACACACAAAATAAATAAATAAAAATAAAATGGAGATAAAAGCAGTATCAACGTCATAAGGTAGTTATGAGCTCGTTAAAATGCTTAAGGCAGGTCCTGGCCCATTGGAAGGGCACAATAAATGTTAGCTCTTTTATTAATGCTATCTTACAGATCTGGGTGCAAATCTGTCTTCACCATTTACTAGCTCTGCAGTTTTGTGCAAAACCATTTCCCTTCTCTGAGCCTCAGTCTTCTCATCTGTAAAACGGGGGAACAGCTCTCTGTCCCGTCTTCCTACCAGGGATACCCTGAGACTCACGTAAGATAGGGCAAGGACTGAGTCTGTTGCACTCCCTGCCCTCATTCTCCCTCACCTCTGCACCTGTCTGGCACACAGCAGAGACTCAATGAATAACCGTCATATGAATGAATCAATGAAAGATAAAGGTGATTTGTAAATTGTAAAAATGCCATAACAATACCATTTATCCTTTGTTAAAATTTTGCCTCTGGTTCAGGCATTGTGCTTGCTGCTTTAAACACACTACAGTAGTCCCCCCTTATGGAGGGGAGTGGTGATACTTCCAAGACCTTCAGTGGATGCCTGCAACCATGGATAGTACCCAGCTCTATATATACCATGTTTTTTCCTATACATGCATACCTATGATAAAGCCCAATTAATAAATTAGGTACAGTAAGAGACTAACAACAATAACTAATAATATAAAAACAATGTACCGTAATAAAAGTTACAATATCTTAGCAGCCTCAGCACACGATTTTTTTTCTTTCCTTAGTAAGTCTATAACTTTCACCTTTTCACTTAAAGGAAATGCTTTACAGCTTCTCCTGGTCATATCCAAACGGCCAGCATCACTACTCTTGTGCTTTGGGGCTATTAAGTAAAATAAGGGTTACTTGAACACAAGCACTGCGATGCCTCAACAGTCAATCTGATAACTGAGACGGCTACTAAGTGACTGAGGGGTGGGTAGTGTATAGTGTATTCACAAAGATGGATGGATAAAGGGATGTTCACGTCCTGGGCTGGACAGAGCAGGAGGGCACAAGATTTCACCACACTACTCAGAGTGGTGCATGATTTAAAATTTATGAAGTGTTTTTATTTCTGGAATTTTCCATTTAATATTTTTGGACTATGGTTGACCAAAACCACGGAAAGTGAAACTGCAGATAAGGGTGGACTACCATATTCCTAATCTTCCCCAAAATGGATGTAATGATGATGAAGATTTTGTAAATGAGGATATTGGGGCTGAAGAGATAGCATGACTTGCCTCAGGTCATCCATCTAGGAAGGGGCAGAGCTGGAATTTGAACCAAAATTGGTAGGACTACAAAGCTAATTCTCTCTATTATCATACTATCCGTGTCATAATTGTTACATTATTATTTTTAATGCTATCATTACTGACCAAGGTCACAGCAAATTGGCAGGCCCACAGTCTGTCTAATTCAAAACTATACCCTCCCTCCACCACACCAGAGTAACCTGGGGAAATACCTTCTTTCCTTGGGCAGGGTCCTCTGCCCAACTAAAGATGTTGACAGATCCCCCTCATCTGTAAAAGTCCCCTCTTAGGATAGAATTTTTGCCTCAGATCGAAACCCCTTCTTGCCCTGTCTGCACATCACAGGTAGAAGAGTTCACAGGTCATCTTGTTCAACTGCTTCCTTTTACAGATGGGGAGACCAAGGCCCATGGAGGTGAGGTAACAAGATCACATAGAACCTAGAACCTAGGTTTCCTGGTTTCCAGTCCAGAGTTCTCTTCACTCTCTCAGGTTCCGTCTGTCTTAAGGTACCAAGGAGGGAGCCTCCAAGCTGAGGAGAATGGAGGGGCATTTGGGGCACAGAGAGGGTCCTCCTCCAATTTGCTATGGGGCTAAGGGCAAGTTACCGATCCCTCTCCAGAGCCCCAATTTCAGCAGCTTGGAAACGGGACTGAGAAAATGGGTGGTCAAGAACCCCTGTAATCTGTACTTCCCCATTGCCCAGGCCCCTGGCACCCCTACCCCCATCCATACTCACATATTCCTGGAGCAGCTGCTCAGCATATTTGGTGAGGAGGCGGGCAAGGCTGTGTGTCTGATGGATCTTGGCCTCCAAGTGGGGAAGGGATGAGATTGAGGAGTCAGTCTGGGGGTCTTCTGGTGGGAAAAGGGGGAGGAATGAGGGCAGCCCTCCCTGACCAGTTTTTCCTTGACCACTTTTTCCAGCCTGGCTCCTCCTTCCCAAACCCAGAAGCTCTGCTTGGAATACTCCAACTTTTAGCCAGGGAGGCTCTGTACCATTCTACATGAGGGAAAATGAGGAACTAGACATTTGCCAAACGGTTGTTCTACTTGAAAAATATTTCCTGTCCCCAAACCGCTGTTGAAATCCTATTAAAGCCAAATCCAAATACTGCCTCCTCGGCGCAGACTCCAGATTCACCCTTCCCTTCAATTAACTTCTTCTTTCTACTCAAGGCCATTTGCTCATGCTTCCAAGGTTGTTCTTTTAAAGGCTGTTTTATCTGTGTGAATCTGCCTCGGCCTGGCAGCCCTTGAAGGGTAGGTCTCACCTATCTCTGAAGCTCAGTGATTATTGGTGGAGTTCAATATCATTGAAGCATAGAACTTCAAATAGGAATACGCCTTTAACCCCATTTTACAGGTTGGAAGACTGAAGTCCCATTCCCTCCCTGATGGCTCTTCTGTGCAAGGCGCCGGGCTGGGCACTGCGCAGCGTCAACGAATCAGCGACTGGCCTTCCCTAGCACAAGCTAGAAGGTGGCGTCCGGGGAGGACTACATTTCCCAAGAAGCCCAGCGCGCGCGCCCAGGGCATGCTGGGGAATGTAGTCCTGGTCGAGCAACTCCCTCCCCGCCCCCGACATGAGTTTCCCACCGCCGGTCCCTATCCTTAACAGCCTCGACTTTCGTTTCCTGTTGTCACCCACTCGCTCCTGTGGCCCAAAGACTTCCTCCCGTAACTCTACCCCTCCCTCACGGTCCCTAGCTCCGATTCTTTCCCAATACTCGGAGAGGATCCAGGCGTCCTGCCCCAGCCACGACCCCAATCCTCCCCCAGGGTGCACTCGAACCGGAGATCTAACTCCTGAGCCAAAGTCCCCCCTCTAAACTCTGGCGCTTGCCCCTTCCACAGCTCACCCGCTCGTTACCTGACAACTGGGCCCTGCTCTCCCCAACTCAGGTTGCTCCCTTCCCGGACTCGGGGGTGGCGGGGACCCAGACCCCAGCTTCCGGCCCTTATGACCCCTGCTGCACTCGGGCACTTGGCATCTGGCCCTTCAGCCCCTTACCCAGACTTCCCTCCCTCCGGCTCATGCTGGCACCTGGCTGATCCCGGTTGCCTTTACGCCCCCCCCTCCGACGCGGGGAAAAGGGGGAAAGGGGTAGGGGCGTGGCCCGGGCGCAGCCAATCAGGGGCCAGACCCCAAACAATCCCCCTCCCCCCCGTCCTCCCCTCTTCCCCCCCCCTTCCCCCGAGACCCAGGCGGGATTCCTTGGCCCTGAGCTCATCTCCCTGCCTGCGCGGCCTAGTCCGGAAAGAGACCTGAGGGGGGCGGCAGGTTGTCTACTGGTGGAGTCGGGACCTCCAGGTTGCGGGTGCCGGGACATGGGACATGGGAGGCAGCCCTGCGTCCCGCCAGGAGGAGGAGGCTCAGGTTCCGACCTGGGGCAAGGATTGGCGCCCGGGCTGCTTTTGGGAGAAAACTGAGGGGATAGGAGCGGGCAAGACAGGAGTGTGCTGGCCATTCCTCTTGGCTGGGGGAGCAGGAAGAGCTGGGTGTGAGAGAGGCCACGATGGGGGCCCTCAGGCTTGGGCCACACCTGCCCAGATATCCACCTTCTGGATATTTCAGATTCTTTCTGCCCTCCTTCTCATTGTCCCATCTAGGAGGAAGACAGATACACCACCTCACCTCACCTTACCAGGCCCAGTAAGAGAACCCCTCTGACACACCTGCTCCTACTGAAGGGTTAATGCATACAGACTTTCATTCTCACACAGGAACAAGCTTCAGAGACAGGTACAGGGGGTCACACCTGCACATCAACCCCACTAACCTGGTTCAGACAAACGCCAAAAGGTCTGTACACACTTATGCCCACAAATGGTTCCCAAGCACCCACTCTGTCCTGGGCTCTGGGACCCAGAGATGATCCATACTTGGTCTCTGGCCCCCTGAGGCGCTCACAGTCTGATGTGGGAGACCATAGGCAACAGTAGGTAATGGGGTTTGTGAGTGAAGGGACTGGGAAGGAGGCCTGTGTGTCTGTGAGGATATTGCCATGAGCAGGCCACTACCAGAATAAAGGAAGGAAGAGATTAACTGGCAGAGGGCACAGCAGGTGCCACTGAAGCCAGACTGTTGGTAGGGGCCACAGTCACACACTTATTAACAGTGACTATTTGTTGGTTATTTACAATGTGCAAGGCACTGTTCTAAGAGCTGTATACATATTAACTCACTCCCATGTTACAGTTGGGGAAATAGAGATAAGCGACTTGTCCAAGGTTACTGGACAAGCTGAACTGGGATTCTACTCTGGCAGTTTGGCTCCAGAAATGCTGTCATAACCACCTTACTATACCTGAACCCCTCTGGACATAGTCACACCAAAACACACAGACACAATAGCCACATCCTTGAAACATATGCACACACAGCAACACAAATTTAGACATGTCATATCTGCTGGCAAACACAGCCTCAAAACCAACCAAGATACACTCATTCTAAGTAAACTTTTAATTAAAGGATAATATGCATAGGGAAAAGTGCACACATCCTAAGTGTACAGCTAGATAAATTTTCACAGAGTAAATATGCCCAGGGCCTCAGCACCAGATTAAGAAATAGAACAGGATGACCACTATCCTGACTTCTCATGCCGTAAATTAGTTTTATCTGATTTTGAACTTCATATAAACGGAATCATACAGTGCTTACTGTTGAATCTGACTTCTTTCACGAGACATGTCCCTGTGGTTGGGTGTAGCAGGGCATCATTCTCTTGCTGTGTCCATAGTGTGAACAAGCTATAGTTCATTTCCACTCTCCTGTTAATGGGTTGTTTCCAGTTTGAGGCTATTATGAATAGTGCTATGAACATTCCAGTACTCTTGGTGCTCATACCTACACGTTTCTGTTTCTGTTGGGTGTTGACGACCTGGGAGTGGAATTGCTGGATCATAGGGTCGGTGTATGTTCGTCTCCACTAGAAAACGGCCAGTTTTCCAAAGTGTCTCTGCCAATTTATACTCCCCCAGAAACAGGAGAAGTCCAGGCGCTCTGCTTCTTCCTCTGCTCTTGGTATGGTTCGTCATTCTCATTTTAGTCATTCTGGTAGGTGGAGACCCATTCATATTTGCAGAGTCTGGTATGTAATCGTCACTCAGTTAATAGATTGTTGAATGAATGGATGAAGGAATAGCCGGGCAGCGTAGAACCAGACAGCCTGGCGAGGGTGGACACACACACACATACACACAGCCTATCAGGGACGCTCAGCAGCATAGAATCAGACAGCCTGGCGAGGGTGGACACACACACATACACACACACACACATACACACAGCCTTTAAGGGACGCTCACGCGCAGCAGACCCACACCGGGACACAGACACCTCGCAACACCCCCGCCCCCGCCCCCCGGCGTCCACGTGGTCTGAACGCACCGCCTCAGCCCTGCTGCGCGCGTCCAGTCGCCGAGCTGCCCCCAACCTCCCTCTCGGCGGCGGGCGGGGGGCACTGCGAGTCCGGGCGACCCGAGGGGGCGGGCCCGGTCGAGGCGGGGCCGGCCGGCTTCCAGTGTTGGGCTCCGGCCGCCGGTGCCGCCGGGCCGCTCCGGGGCCGGGCCGGGGCGGGGCGCGGCGGCAGGAAGCGGGGCGGAGACTCGCGGAGGCTTTGGGGAGCGAAGGAGGGCGCGGCCAATTCCCGGAGGGACGGCAGGCCCAGAGAGCGGAGCCCCGGCCTGGCGCCGAGCCTGAGCCCGCCGGACGGGAGGCGGCCTAGCCGCGGGCTCGGCCTCGGCCCCAGCCCCGCCAGCATGGCCGGCCGGACCGTGCGGGCCGAGACCCGGAGCCGGGCCAAGGATGACATCAAGAAGGTGATGGCGACCATCGAGAAGGTCCGGAGATGGTGAGCGCTGCCTCGGGGCCAGGGACGAGGCACGGCGGGGCCACTCCTCCCCTAAATGCGTCTACCCTCCTTTCGCCAGCTGTGGCCCCCAGTTGTTAGGTGTACCCCCCCAGCTGCGTCCTGGATCTACGGGGCTCTGTCCCCTTTTTCCTGGCTACACCCTGGGGTGTACAAGGCGTGTTCCCTACCCGTGCCCTGCCGGAGCAGGAGCCCCCATATATGCCCCGCCCCCTAAAGCTTTGACACTCCTCCCGAAAGTATGCCCGGGATCTTCATTGCTATTGTCCCCAGCCCGACCCATAGCAGCGCTACCCATGTATACCCCAGGGGTCTGCAGAGCCATGGCCCCAAGCCATACCCTCTCTCTAAAGGCACCCCCATGTATGCCCTGTGGTCTGCAGGGCTATCTTTCTCCCTCTAACTATGCCCCTTTCCTCCTGCACTACCCACACCTCTGCTGGTATCCCCAGATGTGTCCAGCTGGGGGAGGGCTCTCTCTCAGGCCTCTCTGACCCGATCCCCTCATCCTCCCACAGGGAGAAGCGCTGGGTGACTGTGGGTGACACTTCCCTTCGTATCTTCAAGTGGGTGCCAGTGGTGGACCCCCAGGAGGAGGTGAGCAAGCTTCCCCACACCGGGCCCTGCATCTGTACAACCTCAGGCAAGCTCCTCCCCACCCTGGCCTCTACCTCCAGTCCCCACTCAGGCCTCAAATGCAGCAGCCCTGACAGATGTTAACAATTATTAGCAACTCTGCCTCTTCTCCCTTTTTCCTGCTCCAGACCCCCAAGTTCAAGACTTAACCCAGTGTGCACAACATCTGTCACCTCAGGCAGGGCCTTTTGCTTCTCTCTGCCTCACTTTCCTTAATTGTACATTGGGGGCTTTGCAAGTGCTAACTAAAAAGCCAGCTCTGACCCTTACCCTCTAACCCCCAGGAGCGACGGAGGGCAGGTGGCGGGGCAGAGAGATCTCGAGGCCGGGAGCGTCGGGGCAGGGGCGCCAGTCCCCGAGGGGGTGGCCCTCTCATCCTGCTCGATCTCAATGGTATGTAGGGATCCTGGAATTTGGGGGGCTGTGAGGATTGAGTGAGGGGATTGGGGGCTTCAGGCCCAACCATCTTTGTTTTTGCTCCCACAGATGAGAACAGTAACCAGAGTTTCCATTCGGAAGGCTCCCTGCAAAAGGGCACTGAGCCCAGCCCTGGGGGCACCCCCCAGCCTAGCCGCCCTGTGTCACCTGCCGGACCACCAGAAGGGGTCCCAGAGGATGCTCAGCCCCCAAGGCTGGGCCAGGAGAGAGGTAGGACCAGGTGCCTCCCAGGAGCCCTCTCCTCTGAGTCTTGTCCTCTCCAAGGTTGAAGCTACCAGCTTACCCCTACAGCTGCTTCCCCTCCTGTGTTGCCTCTGCAGGAAGGCCTTCCCTGACTCCTTTGGGAAGTCACCACCCTACCTCTAGCAAGTGTCTGTCTCCTTCCCCTGGCTTCTTAGGGTCTGTAGATAATTTATCACTGTCTGAGATTTTCATGTAAATTTAACTTTTTACTACTTAAATGTCTTTCTCCCTTACTCCCACCTCATGTCAGCTTCCTGAATGTTGGGCCCATGTTGATCTTGTTCACTGTTGTCTCCTCAGAACAATGTGGGACACATAGTAGGTGCTCAATAAATATTTGTTGAGGAATAAATAACAGTGATAATCCTAAGAGTGATTAATAAGTGATAATAATAGCTAATACTTATTGAGCTCTTACTGTGTGCCAGGCCCCCTTCTAAGCACTTTACATGTTTTATCTCATTTAATCCTCACTACAGCCCTATGAAGGTTATAATCCCATTATGATCCCCATTTGTAGATGAGAAACGGAAAGCAGAGAAGTTAAGTAAGTTGCCCAAGCTCATACAGCCAGTGAGCTAGCATCTTGGGCATGAGTCCTCCTCAGCTCTTCTTTCTTCCTTATAGTCAAACCCCTCTCTGGTCAGTACCACCTCCCAAATGTGCCTTCCTCTCCCTCCCCAGGCTCTGTCATCTCTCTCACCTGCTCCTGGCTCCAGCCTCCTCATGGGTTTCCTCTCCTCCAGTCACCCCCACACAGCTGCCAGAGCAACTTTTTCTAAAGCACATGTTTGACGGAGTCATTTTCTTACTCAAAGCCTTCAGTGGCTCCCTGTGGCCTTTGACAACTCAGCTTGGCACTCTGGGCCCTTCCTGAACTGTCCCCTGCAGACCTCATTGTTCCCTTCCAGGAACGCAATGGCTTGGGCCTATAGTCTGTGTCTAGACTGTGCTCCACATTTGTATACCTTTACTAACATAAAAACAATAACTGGCATTTATTGAGCATTAACTATGTGCCAGACACAGTACTAAGGGCTTTACCTGTATTATCTCATTTAATCCTCACAACAGTCTCATGGTAATTACTATAATTATCCCCATTTTATAGATGGGAAAACTGAGGCCCAGAGAAATTAAGTCAGGTCAGGATTTGAACCCAGGTGGTCCAACCCCAGAATCTGTGCTGGCTGAGCCACTGCTCCCTCTGCCTAAAATGTGGTCTACCTCCCCTCTGTCTGCCTGATCAAATTCTACTCACCTGTCAAGATCTCACCTAAGTGTCCTTCCTGTGTCTTCTTCCTGGGTTGCAGCCAGGTTCCCAGCTCCTTCCTCGGTGCTCCCGCAGCCATGGGCTTATGTGATTGGTGTTTTGTTTTCGTCTTGGTCTGTGCTATGACACAGAGTGGCTGCTCAGGGAATGTCTGTTAACGTTCCAGATCCTGGGGGCATAACTGCAGGCGGTACTGATGAACCCCCAATGCTGACCAAGGAGGAGCCTGTGCCAGAATTGCTGGAGGCTGAGGTGAGAGAGGCCAGAAGGCTGGACTCCTGGGTCTTGGAGGGAATGGGGGCTCTGGGGCAGCCAAAGGCTTGGGGGCTGCCCTTCTAAGGTCCAGGCAGGAAATGTAGACCTCAGACGCAGCTAAAGGCTTAGAGGCTGGGTTCTTGGGACTGAAAAGGACAGGGTCTTTTAGAAATAAAGACCTGCGGGCTGGATCGGGGCTGATTTAAGACCATTAAAAGCCTGAAAAGAACATGATGCTCCTCCAAGTTTGTTTTTTTTTTCAATCCTAAACTATAAAATTAGCTTAAGAAAGTCCCCCACAAACTTCTGACTTTTCCCACAAGGACTACCTTGATACATTTGCCAGAAATATCAAATATCAACTTCTTTCTCCAAAACAGTGTTGTTGTTGTTGTTTCCGGTGCCCTACGTAATCCGCATCCTGGGTCCCTGGCCCTGGGCTAGACTCCTGGGTCCGGGAGGGGAGTGGAGTGGAGGCTTTGGAGAAGGCAGAGGCTAGGAGGCTGCACTCCTGGGTTTGGGTAAAGCTCATGCCTGTCCTCCCTTCCTCTCCAGGCCCCCGAAGCTTACCCCGTCTTTGAGCCAGTGCCACCTGTCCCCGAGGCAGCCCAGGGTGATACAGAGGACTCGGAGGGCGCCCCCCCACTCAAGCGCATCTGCCCAAATGCCCCTGACCCCTGAGAAGCCGGCCTGCCTGTCCTGTCACCCCAGGGGTCCCTTTGGCTTTTTACAAATAAAGACCCTTTTGTAATTTTGTGTCATGTCATTTCCCCGTCAGGGCTGGGGAGGGTCTTTGGAGACAGTTTTGTCTCACGCTCCATTTCTCAGATGGGGTCACTGAGGCTCTAAGAGGACCTTCCTGTAGTCACACCATGAGTCAGACATGGAGTAGGGGCTTGAGCCAGGACCCTGCCTCCCCACACTCCCTCCACCCTGCTCTGTCCCCCTTACCTTTGACTCTTCCTGACCTTTAGCCCTTCTCCTCTGGGAATCCCAGGACCCCTCTTCTTACTGCTCAGCCCTCCCCTGGGCCCAGCAATTACTAAAGCTCTGGGCAGCTAGGCCCGTGATTCCCATTTCATAAAAAGGAACACAGAGGCCTAGAGGGACTTTGAGGCCTGGGATGACCCAAACCATTCCCTGCCCTCAGGAAGCTATAGCATCAGGCCTCGGTGCCTCTGCTTAGTCATTCCTCCACTGGAACCCCTGCCTACACTTCTGGTTGAGTCTTACTTGTCCTCAACTCAATTACTACCTCCTCCAGGAAGCCTTCCCTGACCCCAGGCTTAGTCTGTTTCTCCCCTTTTGGGCTCCCACAACCTCCTGTGCTTCCTTCCCTTTGTCTCAGCATTTATCGGGCTGTCTGAGATGGCTGGTTTGTGTGTCTGTCTTGTCCACTAGGCTGTGGGCTCCTCAAGGCAGACCTTGGGCCCCAGGCTTGTCTAGCACCACACTGGGCATAGAGCAGTCATAGTAACTGTTTGGTGAATGATTGAATAAATGAATGGGTTGAAGCTACCTAGGAAGCCTTCTCTGAGGAGGTGGCATGTGAGCTGGGTCTGAGACGTGAACCTCAGTGTGACAGATATGAAGTCAGAAGTCCTGGCTCTGCATCTCATTAGCTGTGTGGCTCTCTGCAGGCCTTTTCTCCTCACTGAGCCTTAGTTTGTTCATCTGAGCACTGGGGACAATAACTAGGCCTGATCTGCCCCAGTGGTTTGTGAGAACCTTCAAATAATATATCTTCACTCTGCGCCTGTAAGAGAGTCAGGGTCAGGAGTATTAGCCCTATTTTTATTTTTAACAAAGGAAGAGACCGAGGTTGAGAGAGGACCAAATTGGAACTTTAAAGAACCATTCAAAAATGTAAGAATGTTTCCTGAGAGCAGCTGCAGGAGCAGTGGGTGAGCCAGAGATGGTCGGGGAGCCAGGTGTGCAGTGATGTGGTGTATTCATTTCCTGTTGCTGCTGTAACAAATTATCATATATTTAGTGGTTTAAAACAACACAAATTTTTTATCTTATCGTTCTAGAGGTCACAAGTCCAAAATTAGTCTCACTGGGCTAAAGTCAAGGTGCCAGCAAGGCTGGTCCCTTCCAGAGGCTGTAGGGGAATCTGTCTCACTGCCTTTTCCAGATTCTGCACCCATGCATCCCTTGGCTCTAGCCCCTCCCTCCATCTTCAAATCCAGCAGTGGCAGCATCTTCCAAACTCTCTTCTGCTTCCATCCTGCCCTCCTCTTAGGTTGGGCCCACCTGGATAATCCGGGATAATCTTTCCATCTCGGGATCCTTAATTTAATCACATCTGCAAAATCTCATGCGCCATGTAAAGTAACATATTCACAGGTTCTGCGGATTAGGGCGTGGACATCTTTGGGGGACCATTATTCAGCCTCACCACATGTGGCAATAATCTCAGCCATTTTCTGGGTGTGTGGGTCATCTCATTATTCCCCTCAATCACCCCTTGAAGTCATGAGAGTGCTCTGTAAAATGTAAAGTGCCTTGTCTGGGTTAGTAGAACATTGTTAAGGCCCAGAATTCAGGCTCTGGGTTTAAAGATTTTATGTTTTCCCTTTTTCTCCCCAAAGTCCCCTGGTAGATAGTTGTATATTTTTAGTTGGGTGTCCTTCTAGTTGTGGTATGTGGGAAGTCACCTCAGCATGGCTCGATGAGCGGTGCCATGTCAGTGCCCAGGATCCGAACTGGTGAAATCCTGGGCCGCCGAAGCGGAGCGTGTGAACTTAACCACTCGGCCACGGGGCCAGCCCCCAGGCTCTGGGTTTAAATCTCAGCATCTCCATTCATTTGCTGTGTGACCTTGAGCAAGTGACTAAACCTCTCTGTGCCTCTATTTGCTCATCTGTAAAATAGTAACATCAGCCTGGTGAGACAATTGTGAGGATTAAATCAGGCAATATGTGGAGAGAGAGTCTTTGGCTTGACACAGAGTAAGTGCTCAATAAATGGCAGCTGTTTTTCCTATTACCCTATTTTACAGGATATTAGGGTGTAGGGATAGAGGCCAGAGATTCTTTTGTCAGTGAGATAGAGGAGGAGGAGTCCATTTCTGAGCAACCTTGAAAGGCTAAAGTTCAAGTCTTCCCCATTCCTGTCCCCCTCCTGGCCCCAGGCATCTGTCCCCTAGCCCAGCCCCACTCTCTCTGTGGTCCACTCTGTGACCTGGTTTAAAAGCCACCTCTTCCATAGCCACACCCCCCAATCATCACCTTGCTATGCCCTCCCTGTCCCCTCCCAATGTCCACACTCTCCTTTTGGAAATTCTTTTACCCCTGGCTCCCTGACCCTGGCCTCCAGTGCTCCCCCATTCTCTTCCCTTCTGTCACTCTCTCCTCTTCCTCATCACTTAAATACCTCTTGCCCTGAACTAGCTCTTCTCTTCAGAACATTCTCCTCGCCGGGTCCCACCTACTCCTTGAATTAATGGTTCCCAAGTCTCTGGCTCCAAGTTCTGCCCCTACCTCCAACTCAAAGAGCCAGATGCCTTTGAGACATCTCCACTGGGAAGCCCTACAGACCTTCAGCCTCATGCTCCTCCCAACCCGTTCCCACCATCCCTTGTGCCCAGAAATGGCCCCCCGAACCCCAGGAGTTGTCCAAGGTGGGAGCACCTGGAAGTCAGAGTCAATGCCCCCATGAGCCACCATATCCCTTGACGTCTCTGTCCTAAATAACCATCCTGTCAACCCATTTTTTGGGTGCCTCCCAGTGGGTCTCCTTGCTTCACTCTTGCCCATCCTCAATCCATTCTCCACCCAGCAGCTGGGTGGTCTCAGAAACCCACATGAGCCCATGATGCCACTCTGGGTCAGAACCCTCCAGTTATCCTCATTTCCTGTCTTATGGAGCCCACACTCTGCCACTTCCACCCACCCCTGCACAGCTACCATCAGAACTGCTTATAATCGCCCCCAAATGCACTCCGCTGTTTCTCACCTCCAGGGTTTTGCTCATGCTGTTGCTCTGCTAGGAATGCCCCTCTCCTCCCCTCTTCATCTGGCAGATGCCTTCTTGTTTTTCAAACCTTGGCTTCCTGGTGGGTCTTCTCTCTGTCCCTCATGCCCCTGCCCCCTCCTCTGCCGTTTCATGCAGCACTAGGTATTGCCGTGTGATGGTCTATGCTCACTTCCATCTTTGGCACCAGACTGTGAGCTCCACCACAGCTGGGGAAATCCTTGGTTCATAGCAACAAGTATTTATTGTGCACTTACTATTTCCTGGCACTATTCTAGGCCCTGGGGATACAGCATAAACAAAATAGAAAAAAATCCATGCCCTCACAGAGCTTACCTTCAGTAAATTACACCATGTAGGAAGTTATAAGTACTTTGGAAAAAACAGAATAAGGGACATGGGGAAAGAGCAGACTGCACTTTTACAGAGGGAGACCCGAGGAGGCCCTACTGAGGGACAGTTGAAGAAAAGCTTGAAGGAGGTGAGGGAGAGAGCCATGCAGATGTCTGGAGGAAGAGCATTCCCGGCAAAGGGAACAGCCAGTGCAAAGGCCCTGAGGGGAAGTGTGCCTGGAAAGGAGATCAGTACGTTTGGAGCAGAAGGAGGGAAGGAGAGAGGGGTGGCAAGTGAGATCAGGTCAGGTAGGGCCTCATAGTCAGGGCAGGCACATAGTTGTCATTCAAACTGGTATACTTTTGAGAATAAAAGAGGATATATTAATAATTATGCCCAGATAACAGGTGAAAACTGGGATAGCCAGAATGTAAGGCCATCCTGCTTGGAGGCCGTTGTTAGGACTTTGGCTTTTACTCTGGGTGAGATAAAGAACTATTGAAGGGGTCTGAGCAGAGGAGTGACATGATCAGACTTAGGTTTTTTTCCCCTAATATTTCATTATAGAAAGTTTTAAACATACAGCTATGTTGGAAGAATTGTACAGGTAACATGCATATACCCACCACCTCGATTCTATAACATTTTACTGTATTTGCTTTATCACATGTTCATCCATCAGTCTA